AGCTGGGGGGGGGCGTGGAAAAGGCTGCTTCAGGTGTGAGCTATTATCAAATCCTCTTAAACAGCCCAGGTCTCTGCTGATTAGTGCATAAAACTGCTGCATTACACATTGTCATTAAGAAAAAAGGAAAATCAATTCCTCCTCCCTGAACCACTGATGACCCAGGTGCTTTTGGGCTCTCACAAAGAGCTATGACTATTATGTAGGAAATAATTCTTTACCAGCCCTGATTACATGATTGTTCATTTTAGTATCATAATATTCCCCCCAAAATCAATTGGACTAATGGCTGGCTCACTCTCAGTGGGTGACGGGTGGCTGTTGGTGGGGCATAGCCTTGTCTGGAGCCGTTCCCCGTAGTAATTGGGGTGCCAGCAGAGGACATTGTACCACTGATGCCTCTCCAACTCTGGGACTTATCACTGCTTGTTAAAATCCATTTCCATCTGTGTTTGCAAAGTCCTTTGACTCTTCTCTTGAAAAGCTTCTAATTAACACAGCCTCCTGAATGTGTAATTGGCTAATCCTCACCACCTTAGGGTTGTGGTGGGATTTTTTACTTTCCCTCCCACCTCTATTGCTTCAGTGTTGCACCTGATCCCCCAGTCATTTAAAAAAGAGCTGGGAGTTGCTATTAGGAAGGAGCTCTTCTTCCCTTTTAATCAGGTGCTTTGTATTTCTTCAGCCAGTCCTAAGGACAGTGTGAGGTGCTGTCTCCTCTCCAAGGCCTGGGATGGAGCTGGGAATGTGCTGGTTTTCCATGATGCCTGGGGAGACCAAGGGTGAGTCCTTTCAACTCTAACCTCTTGGTTTACTGCTCTATACTGACAGGAAAGAATGTTTCCTGCCCTGTGGGATTTTTGCCATTTTACTGAACTCCTACATAGAAATGGTTAACAATGTGCTGGTACCATAGGGATTTGCGTTATGGTAACAATTATTGGGGAAGATTTTCCCAAGTAGCTGGAGCTGCTCTAATTCTGCTTCCATTAAAATCTGTGCTGCAGTTGCTCCTGGTTGTGGATAAAGCTCTTTTTTCTCAAGTTTCAGTGATTTCCAGAGATTCAGCCTCCCTAGGGAACTAGGCTGCTGTGGGGCAGAGCTGGGTGCACTGAGCTTTCTTCTGCCAACGTGGTGAGATCAAGCTCATACGGGAGGCTCTACATCATGAGCATCCCAGTGCCTCAGAGAAAAAGTGGGAGAAATCCGAGCTCAGGAGACCTCAGTCTCTTCCTTACTCATTCTACCTCTCTTTTTGACCTGCTCAAGGGGTTTGTAGTGGCACTTGATTTCTCTTCACCCATCTGCTATGTGGAGCTCTCCTCCTGGGATGCAGCAAGTCTGACATGATCCTGCACATGCAAAGGACTCTTTTCCCTGAATGTAGATGAAATCTTGCCATTCAGAAAGGTCTCATTTTAAAGACTTCCCTTTTCTTTTAGTGTTCAGTCTCTTACCAAGCTGTGAAAATGCTGCTTATTTTCAGGCTGAATACACCCAGCTTCAGCTTCCAAGCACTGGACATTGTCCTCCATATGGAATATGAAACATCCCATCTCAACTCTTCCCTGTGTGTGACTCATGGCCCCTCAGCTATTGCCTTGGTTGGATTCCTGTTATGTTCATAACACCTGTAGTGTCTGACCATTGCTTGGTGGGTAACACTGGCCATTTGAGTGATTGATACTATAGTGAATTTATTCCTGTATCACATAATTTACTACATTAGTAGCCTCTTCATACACAATCCAATTAAATGCTTTTGTTTGCTTTAGCATAGAATCAATAATCTAGTAGTTTTATAGAAAGAGAGGATATAAAAGCTTTCCAAACTTTACCAGTGACTCTGGAAAATAAAAAGCACAGTGATTATGCATCAGAAACTTGTTCTCCTCTGTCTGTGCCCAAGGCACCAGCACCTGCAGGAGCAGCATCTCCAGTCAGTGGCTGGAAACCTGCTTTTGTCCCTGGCACTGCCAAGGGTCAGTCCAAAGGAGCTTTGAGGGTGAAGGTCTCATGTGGGTGAGATGCAACAATGGTTTAGATCTGTAAAGGGACCTGCTCCCTCTTACCACAGAGATCTTTCCAGCTTGGAGCAACCTCATGCTTTCTCCTTTGTTCAGCATCCCTGCAGCAAAAAAGCACTGGCTGCTGGTGGCCCACAGGTATCTGGGGTCCTTGTGTCCATCATGATTTCAGAGATGGCTTAAACACCACTTTCCTCCTTGGATTTGGCACAAAGTCCTTCTAGCCTAGCAGGAAAGCAAGGCCAACGTTCAATAATTTGAATTAATGAATGGATCATTCATTAATGCATTGAGGTAGTATTAAAGTAATTCTCCATGGTTAAGTAGTTTGATAGTCAATAGTGCTATATGATTTATTGCAAAATCTCTGTGGCAGTCACACGAGGAGTAGGTATCTCCTGAAAGGCTTTGAAAGGACCTGACCATTTCATATTTTTTTTCCTCTGTGGAGGATCTGGATGCAAACCTCAAGGCTACATGAGTCTCACTGGCTCCACACCTTCTCTGTGTTAAAGACTCTTCCTCAGCAGTGTTGTGTTCCTCGATGGAGGGACCCAAACCTCATGCTATTCGGG